ACTCGAGTCTGGACTCGTTACTCGCACACCTCTAGTCGAAAGACACTGTTATTCTCTAGGGGCATACAGATCGGGGGGGGGGCTACACCTCGAAAGTCCCGATTCGGTTCAAAACTATGGATTTTAAGTTGTAGGTTTTCTTAGTTTCTTCAGCCTCTCTTACAACTCTATCGCATAAAAACCCCTTAACCCTTATTGCCTCCCTTACCGGGCATGTTTAATTGTCACCTTTAGTAAAGAGCCACTTTAGACAAAATAGTTCTGAGGCCACGACAGTTCAAGCGCGCCGAGTGCTGTGTCTTAGTTCCTGACGGACTTACTTGACCACAACGTTTCTGGTGAAGTTTTGAAATCGAGTGTCTAGAGCCTGAACGTTTTTTGTTTTTGTTTTGTTGTTGTTGTTGTTGTTTTGGGTTTGTTTGTTTTTTAATGAAAGACAGCGCAGTCGAAACTGTCTAAAACGGCCATTTATTTGTCGAGGAGAACAGTGACCGTCTAAGACGGGTGACACACATGTCATTATATGGTAAATAAGCTTATAAAATACTCAAGGGAAGAGATGGGAAGTGGCCATTTTGTACAGGTGATTGTCTTATACAGGTGGCCGTTAGAGCGGGTTCGACTGTATTTTCCCTTGGTCTGGTGGCCTTTCGAGGCATGTGGGTGATTGTCAAGTGCTCTTGTGTGGTTCACTTCTTCTGTCCTGTCAACAAACATAATCTGTCGTCATTGTGTCTCCTCCTCTCCTCTCAAGCAGACGTATCCCTCTCAACTCGGGCTGGTCCTGAAATTTGCTCTTTAATCTGAGTTATGTCGATAGGGACGTAAAACACAAAGTAACAATTTTTAAAAGAAACAAAAACGTTTGTCTGTGATAATACTACTGCTGTTGTTGCTGTTGCTGCTGTCGCCGCCGCCACCCCCAGACTACTACTACTACTACTACTACTACTACTACTACTACTACTACTACTACTACTACTACTACTACTACTACAGCTGCTGTTGTTATTGCTACTACGTTGTCGTCGTCTCTGTTAATATTGCTGTTATTATTGCTATCGTTTTAAAGGTTTTCACAAAATGGAGCCACTGCGCGCCTGTAAATAGGATACTACATGACCTACCCCTCTCATGTCAGAATCGCAAGCATAAGCATAAACTTCAACACTTGGTTTTACCTGCTTTGTGGTTTTTCTTAGACACATAGTTTCTCCCACCCCTCTTTCCCCACTTTGTTTTCTTCTCACGCTCCTTCTTATTTTCTCTTACCTCAAGGTTATGGTCGGCTATGCATCCGATACGAGGTACATGTATTTGTGTCAAACAGGGCATTGAACTGTCATAAAAATAGTAACACAATAATACCAGAGCGCTAACGTAGCCTAGGCCTACCTTGCTCTGTCTTTCGTTGATTCGTCAACTTCTTGTTGATTGTTGTAGGCCTCTGCAAATATCAAGAGAACTTTCACTGTTACTTCCTTGAAAACTGTCGAGCTGTGATTGTTTTGTTCTTGAGGCCTTGTTATCCCTATGCTTACCACAGCAGCTCATGTGCCGTGCGCGGCTCCTTGGGTGTCAAGTGGTCAATACGAAACAGCTCGCTTTGTGCTGTGGGTAACTGTGTGCTACTGAGTCATCTTCGAAGGTGAAAGGCTGTCCTGCTTATGATCTGAACAAAAAATTTGGTAACAAAGTCTCACTGTGTCCGTTCTGAGGTTGGTCACCAGTCGACGACTACGACGCATTTGAAAAATTGTTCCTAGTTTCTCCTCACGTGTTCAGTCTGTGCCTCCCTACCCTAAACTTTGGAACACGTGGTGCCGTTAGCTTTTGTCACGTGTTAAGGATACTTGAGTCTCGAATCTCGACCCGACTTTTAGAACACTTACTTTTACTCCGGGAGGGCCAGCTACCTTCACAGTACAAAACGCTTTGGAAACTGTGTACCCGCACGAGTGCATGGACTGGTGTCCTTTTAGCGTTTAGGCTCTTCTTAACTTCTTAACCCTCGCGCACAGAAGAGATGTGGGTTCGATTTCCGTGTGGGGAAAATTGTTATCAAGTATTGCCGTCTTTCTGCCAGGACATTGTACCACTATCAGCGCCAGGTTGACCCTGACAGTGCGGCACGGTCGAGGCTGTCGGTGAATCCACGGCTCCTAAAATATGGTCTAAATTATAGTATTGGTCTTGGCGTGAAGCTTTCACAGTTTTTGTTTGTTTTTGTTTTTTGTTGTTTTTGCTTTGAGGTTTTTTTATGAGTTCATGATGGCCGGGGGACGATACAGAATGTAAATGGGTGAGAAGAGCTGTTGCCGTTGGCCAAGGCCACGGGAAATTGATCGCGGCCTGGAAACAGTTAGCCTACTATTTTGTAAACTCAGAGTCAGAGGAACAAGGTTCTAACTCGGAATTTGTAGTGTTTGAAGAGAGGGTGTCTGGGGGTTCACCATAGTATACTCCATCAACAATGTAATGTAAAAGTTAGAACTCCTGTTCCTTGGTTTTATGAGATAACGCCACACCTTTTTTGCTTTGCCTTTGGTTGGAGGGCGCCGCTGATAGGTCCTCCTTTTTCTCTACGTTCCCACTGTCTGTCTGTCTGTCTGTCTCTCTGTCTGTCTGTCTGTCTTACCTTTTCCCAGCACTAAATGGCCATTACTGTTCTCATTACTCAAGCAGACAAACAATCTCCCTTCATTTGAGGCAGATATAGTGTGTGAAAATTGTGAAACCAATTAAATTCTTAGAAGTGAATGTAATTGAGATAAAATCTTGTTATTCTACCCTAATGTAGAACCCTGGGAGATGTGACTGGGTGGTGGGTGTTCTGTCATGGTTTGCTCCTTTTTTCCTAATGAACATAATATTTGGCGCTCATTTGACTTAATGCAATTACAAGCGCCGTAAAATCTCTACTAAGACTAAAAAACTTAAACATAGTAATAGATCGTCTTATCTCTCCTCTCCACATGGAAGAGTCCGTGAAATTGAACTAGAAATCAAATAGAATTTTTAAAATTTTACAAAGGTTTTATGGCGCTCGCAACTGCATACTGTCAAATGAACGCCAAGGGGTGGATGTCAACATAGAAGTCAAAACGGAGAATCAGACTTACTCTGCTCCTCTCTCTTGCCTCAACAGCACAAAGTCTGCTTCGACTATCAAGGCATCCCGGAAATAGCAATTCACAAGAGAGTTATAAACATATAAAAGAAGTAGAGGAAAAATAACTCTTACTATAGTAAGAGTGAGGGGAAAAAAGCAGCAGTTCCCCCAATGTTGTTTCGGCACAGTATGAGCATGACAGTTGTAAATTAGCCCATTTACAATTCTACTGTGCATAATAACAAGTAATATATCCCCTTTAGGAATGAGTTGAAGACATTTTCAGTCAGTAGCACTGCCCTGAGGGGGGGGGGGGAGACTTTATACTATACCTGGTTCAGAAACGCTCCAAAAATCACCAAAATCATTGGCAGGAGCAGATTGTGAATATACAGCGACCAGACATGTGTAAGATACAGATAAAAGTGATTTTTAAAAAAAATAATTATCTTTTAAGGGCAAACAAAGAAATGAAAGCAATTTGAAAAAGAGCTGATATGGAAACGTAAAAAAGAAAGCTGGGGTATATGAAATGAGGTAGAGCATTAAGTCTTCCCTCTAGCAAAAAATTGTTTTTTTAAATCTCCTCCCTCCCCCCTTCCCTTTCCACCTCCCCCTCCTTTGACCCCCTCAACCCCTCATCTATCCCATTTCCACTCCCACCCCCTTTTCCTCTTTCCTCCACCCCTTTCCCACCCTTTCCACCCCCATCCTCCCTGTACCACGTTTCTATCCCCTTTCCTCCTTCCACCTCCCTCCGTCCTCTTTCCTCCTTCCCCCTCCACCCACCCCTTTTCTACCTCCCCCTTCCCTCCTCTCCCTTCCCGCCTCCTCATCTCTCTCCCCTAATGAGATTGCGCTTTCGGGGGTTTGCGCGTCAGCTCGGTCCGACGTTGTGTCCTTGGGAAAGGCACATTACAGGAATTTCCTATTTGGCTCGGTACTTTCGGAGAAGGACGTTAAACTCGGAGATCCCGCCTTTAAAAAATAATCTAATAGTGTTGATAAGGGAGTTAAACCCCTACCATTTCACCATTTTTCACCCTGCTCCCCTCCCCAGGCATGAGCACCATCCCCGAGGTTCTGGTGGCCAAGCACTGTGGTATGCGTGTGTTCGGCATGTCGCTCATCACCAACGTGGTCATCTCGGAGTATGACTCGCCGGCCCACGCCAACCACCAGGAAGTGCTGGAGACGGGAGAGAGGCGGAGCAAGGATTTGCAGCAGCTGGTGGCGGCCATTGTGGCTGACCTTGACCTCTAGGTACCCTTGATCTGATGACGTCTGCGGCAAAACTAAAGAGAAGTTCCTGCCATGGCCGCTTTTTTAAAACACTTTTTTGCTTATTCACTTGCATACTGTTCGTTTGTTTTTTTTACGGAGTATTTGTTTGTTTGTTGTTTTGAGTTTTGATTTCGCCTATCACAGAACAAGTATCATCTATGTGGTAGGTATTTATAAAAAGTGAAAGTGGGATGGGATTGCGGGGGGGGGGCAGTTGTTGTTTGCCGAGAGATTTTATAGACTGGACAATGCAGTCATTTTGTCTTTTGGTTGGTTGGGGGGGGGGGGGGGGGTAACAATGACAGACCGGAACTACAAAAGCATCGTGTAAAAATAGATCACCCTTTGGTGTCATCTGTTCAACCTCTCGGGGGGAAGGGTGGAGCTGTTCTTTAGATTTGTTTTAATATCACCCCCACATAACGTTCACTTGAACTCAGTGCCCAAGCTGACATCAGCCAGATAGTTCAAAGGATGAACAGGGTTCTGTGTTTGTTCAAACCTGCTGGGTTGAAAATGTGACTTGTGAGATTTCAGTCAAAGGTTAGAGTATTTTAAGAAATGTATCTCTGTATTGTTACACATGTTTTGTATTTTGTTGTGGTAGTTGGAATGACTTTTACTATTCTGTTACAAATTTGAAGAGTATTGTGTTAAGCCTGTGTACCATTGCATTTTTATTGCATTTTGATTTGTTGTTGACGCTCTGACAGAGAGTTTAAAATGGCATGATCTATGGCAGTACTAATTTTACAGAGAGTGAAATTTGAAAGCTCACTAATTACGCACCATATTTTTCACTGCTATCCTGTAAGTACCTACCTTTTCACTGGGCATTTCAAAACATCATTGTGAAACAAACTAACGTACAGTCACCATGTAGGTAACAGTATATATGCGATAAAAAAGAATTCTTAACTCAGAAGAAGCGTAAAGGGCTTAAGTAAAGGAAGGCAGTTAATTTTCAACTTTAGCATATATGCATCGTGGATGGGTTTGTTTCTTGTGAAATTGTAGGAGGTCCATTGTAATTGTTGATGCTGCATTCTGGAATGTGTAATTTTCCTTTTTGTAGCATTTTGTCATGGTTTTCTTGATAGTGCGGCTCAGATTTTCTTTCTCTCTGCTTTTAATGAGTGAGCTGCAGCAGCAAACAAAGCGTGATCGATCGTGTTTTAGGTAATTTCTCATTTTACCGTGCTGAATGATTATTGCTTTTTTTTTATATTCCGGTGTGAAGAGTGATCAAAAATTTTATTTATATTATAGTCGTTGATAAGCTGACAGCTAGCAAGTCTTTATGAAGCGATCTTGTCTGACATTCACCTTGGTTGCACGTTCCCTAACGTTAACAGTGTCCTTAAGCTTTGCTTAAGAATACTTGGTCTCAATAGGAATCATTTTACCGGTGTCTTGAATTCATTTGGAAAGAAACTATACTATTAGTTTACTATCATATTTATGTGTCCAAAAGAACAGCTTCGACTTTTTATGTTTGTTCTGAAGTTTTTGCTCAGGTTTTTGACATTTTCAAGAAGCCTTTTCGTACAGAATGTAGGATGATTGTAGGTGTCAGTATTCATGATTGATGTAATTTTCATCGAATGTACTGTTGAAATGCCATTGCACTTGACTGAGAATTGTTTCAGGGCTAAAGCTCCTTTAATAGAGATTAAATTGTTTAAGTGATTTATGTTGTCATTTTAAAAAATGAGGTTCTTGAGGTAATTTATGTTGTCACCTCTTTAAAAGAAATGAGATTCATGAAGCGTGAGATTCTTGCTTGAAGTCCATTCTTTTTCAATTTTTCTGTCCCCACGGTTTTTTGCAAAAAATATTCTGAAATTATGCAAACTGAGCCCAAAAATGTGAAATTATGCGATTCTGTTAATTTTAACAAAGAATGATAAAGAAAAATAATGAGAAATTATGCAAAAAATGATCAAATTTTGCTTAATTACGCAGGGTGCATAAAACCATGGGGACGGATTTTTTACTTAAAAGAAATGAGATTCTTCAATTATATTGTAAATTTATCATGTTAATATTTTCTGTAAAAGAAATGAGATTCTTAGAGTATAGGGTGATTGTTTTATGTAAAAGAAACGAGATTTTTAGAATAATTTGAAAATCTTTTTTTTGAAAAAAATGGGGTAGTAAAGTTTACTTTTTATGTTCCTTTTTAAATAGAAAATAAAACTCTTGAATCCACTTTTTAATTATCTCTTTATGGAAAATGAGATTGTTGAAACTATTTAGTGGGAATGTTTTTTTTCTATTCTGACACTGTCTTCCTTTATTTTTCAGATCTCATTCTCTTTATTTGTTATCATTCCTAAGAAAAGCAAACATTGCCACATTTTACATGTAAACTGGATTTCATAATAGTATGTATGCAGACCGATCTAATTATACAGTTTTATGAATCTCTGTGTGCGTCTGTGATATACGAAGACAACGACCAGCTTCAGTTTGCGGCTATGGTATACCAAGATTGTATCACAATAAATGATAGTTAAGATCAAGAGCACTTTCAACTCCCGTCTTTTTGACAATATTCTCATCTATTTTCAGTCAAAATACAATGCTCAACTGATATCCGAGTTCATAAATTTTGCTGCCCATCAGGCAAGCTCTACATTGTGATGATGGCTCTCCTTTTCTTGTTGTGTTCCTGGTGTTCATTTGAGTCACCGTCTTTTCTCTGCCTGGTTGGAAATGTTTTTTCCTCTGACCGGTGCCTTCTCAACAAAGGTATATACAGTGAAACCTCATTATATCGCCTGCCTTGGGATGAGCATGAAGTTGGAGGTAGAGCGGGTAGCAAAATCTGATGATGAGTAACAAAGCTATGTATGAAAAGTTTGTTTTTAAATGCAACTAAAATTCTGTTTTTGCAAAAAGCAGGTCTTTGGTTTATAGTGCTTTTTTTTTTTTACTTTGAAGACAACTTGTACGATCGATCGTCTCATCATCTGTGGATAATGTGGATTGGTTTTATTTGTTGTCAGCAACATTCTTTTCATGAAGAGTTTACTTTTCCTTTTGTTTAGCAGCAAAGTTCCCTACTATTACTTTACAATTGACACAATCATGCTTAAATTTTGGGTCCACTTCATCATGACTGTGATTATTAACATGTATACATTCTAGTAAGTAGGTTTAAAAAGTTGACTTCTCATTCATGGTTTTTACTGAGATTCCATCCATCACGCTCTAGAGGTTAAGGTGTTGACCTTCAATTAAAGGTCCCGGGTTCGAATCCGGGTAGCGTTAAAAAAACATTTTATTCTTTAGAATTGTATCCTTTAACCTCCTTTCCTGCTCTCTAGCAAAATTCTGTCGTCTGCTTTCGCCTCCTCTTTCTGCCCCCGCCCCATCACCTCCTTTGCCCCCTCCTCTGGGCTCCTGACTCTTTCTGCAGCCTTTCTACTGTTTCTCCTTGGCCCCTTCTTGCTTTCAGCCACACCCCTGATCTTCTGGTAGGAAAGATACACCTAGCCTCCTCGAACAAGGGCGAAAAATCTAGGACGACTCGTCTGCAAGTTGCTCACGTTAAAGATCCATTGGGGGTCTAAAATCGATAAGAGAAGGCTTCGGCCGCGACCCGAGCAAAATTCAAAATTTCCTACCAACTGAAAAAGATGAATGTGTCCCACGCGCTCATATGTCCTTATGCAGTTTCGAGTGCCATAAAACACTTATTTAAGAAAACGAAAAAAGCTCCAAAATTATTTCGCTCTGCTGTTACAGAATTTACAATGCTTCTGTTGGGACCACTTAAATGTTTTCCTCTTAATTTCAAATAAAATATAGTACTTTTGTTACTGTTGTTGTTGTTGGGTTTTTTTAAAGAATCAACATCAATCAATTTGAAAAGTTTGTTATAGCCAGGGAAAAATCTCCCTACTTTGTGATCATTATTGTAATATTATTGTTGCATAAATTGTTTGCTGTTTTCTGTCATTTGTATTTTTAATGCATTGTCTTTCCACTATCGAGTCATATTTGTAACAGTAGGTGGTTTTCAGCAGTATTGTTTGTTTACTAATGTAGCGATTCTAGTTCCTGTTTTTATGTGTATCCTACACAACCGGCCATTAATAAACGATGCCTCCACATGAGACAATGGCTTGGGTTGATAAATGTTATATGCTGTTTTCAGATTTGATTTATTTTTATGATGTTCCAAGTTATTTGTAATCATATTTACGGCAAAAACTTGCTGTGGGTAGTATTCCAAAGTAGCCTTTTTCTGGAAATGCGTTTATACAAGATAACGTGACATTTTTATTGTAGTTTTGTTTGGCAGTTTGCCTCTTGTGTTTAACTTGGTTTCTTCCCTTAAGTTTCATGACAGATTTGCACTAAACGTAGTTACTCTTCTCAATTTTTGACGTTCCGATTATAAAGGATTTTTGGGAGTCATTTTTTAAGTTACTCTTCTTATAAACGTACGTTATAAAATGAATTGAGAAGATGCCTTAATTTTGGATGCTTGACTCCTTTTAGTTTTAGCTTAGTAGGGCCTACTCAATGTTGACAGCTTGTGCTCTCCCTCTGGTTTGCAGTTTCATACCAGAGTCACAGGTGTGATGATTAGGGTTTTTTTTCAGTTGAGAATTCAATGCCTGAGTGGGGAAGTTATTTATCGAGTATCACTGTCTGTCTGCGGTATGCTCTATGAACAGTGGCGTCTATTAAAACGGAAATCTGTGGGGATAGGGGAGATTTTCTTCCGTTTAGCCGGACAGTGATGCCCACCTAATCTGAAATCTGTGGGGTTTCCTTCGCTTTAGCCGAGTTTTCAGTTTAGAGAGATTTTTTTTAACAGAAGAAAAAAAATGGGGATTTTTTTAAATTATATTTTTTTTAAAATAATTTTTTTATTATTTTATTATTATTATTTTTTTTTTTTTCTTTTTTTTTTTTGGGGGGGGGGGCATGATTCTTTTGGGATTAATGGTACAGTTTAAGTGAACTCCACTGTCTTACTAAGTCTGGGATGGCCCTGAGGGAAAGAAATACACTGGCTACAGTACCGTACATAATCGAACTTGTGTTGCTACAACGTTTATAATCACTCAATCAATATCAGTACTAGATGCGTGTTGTATTTTGCTTTTGTTGCCAACAGTATTACCCGACAGTCGCCTTTCCCTTGCAAATATTTTATTTTATTTCATATTTTGAGTTTTATGTCATCTTAGCTTTTACTTTTGCATCGAAAACCATTTCTTTTATGTATTAAAAAAAATATTCTTAAGTTTTTCTTCGGTCTTAAGTTAGAAGTACTTATGTAAGAATCCTGATAGCCCTTTTTGAAAGATTTTTTTTAGAGAGGGGGGGGGGGGGGTCCAGCACAATGGGTCCTGCCTTGATGGCACTTCAGAGATTCTTTGGATCCATGTTCTTTTCGCAAGGCAAAATTAACGAGATTAATATATATATATATATATATATAATAATATTATATATATTATTTTGAAAGAGGACAGATGAAAAGAACGAGATGTTCACTGAACAGGCTATGGGTTACTTGGAGTGGAACGGGGGGGGGGGGGGGGGGGGGGGATTTTTCGCCACCATGATTTTTGAAGGGATAGGACCTAGGGACTTCCCAAAAAAAGTTTGCCCCAAAATGTTGACAATCTACTGAGTTTCAGTCCTTGATTGTCCAGACATTAAGAAAATACTTGATTTTGATGTTGGGGTTCCAGCCGATAGTACATAGTCTACAAGCATGAGTGTACTCATGTGATGCACAGTACTCACCCATATACTGCACACAAGATGCATTTTTATGTTTTGCTCATTTTTAGTGTTTTGTAATAAGATAATGTTATGATTTTTTTAGGAATCTATCATGAAATATTGTGTTAAGTTCTGGTGGTTATGATCCGCAGTTGTAGCCGAATTTGAAACTGAGATAGAATTGTTCACCAAGGTTGAAGCATATTACATGCATACCGATTTATACATATATATATATATATATATATATATACATTATTATATATATAAATGGATAAATATATATACTTTCTGCTTTTTCTTTACCAGAACACCACTTGGAATTCATAATAATGTTAGCCCTGAAGAAACATCACAATGTATCTTTTCGCCTCCTTTAGTACCAATACATCTATTAACATCTGTGTTGTATAACTTGTAATGATCAAGCAGTTGGCCATTTACACAGTTCAAGAAGAAAGGTGATTTTTACTCACACTCATTAGGAATTAAATTGTTGTCTCCTTGTATCTCCGCCTGTCTGTTAGGGCTAGGACATATTGCAAAAATGATCGCAGCAGCCAGCACCCCCCCCCCCCCCCTCCCCTTCCCTCCCGAAATGTTTTGAATTTTGACCACAGATGAATGAAATATTCATCACGAATCAATTGTGTACAACCATACATTATCCAAATGTTTTATGACAATAGAGGAGTGAAATATTCACAATTTATCCATTGTGTACAACCAATCATTCGAGCATTCTCATTGTCCAACAATCAGATTCATGTTTGTCGGTTATGTAATCGGCTGTTGTGGGGGGGGGGGGGGGGGGGGGAGCTAGGCGCTCTGGCATGACTAGCTAGCAAATGACCTTTTTTTGATTCCCTTGAAGGGAGAATTCTTATCAAGTTTCTCGGTCTTTCTGCTGAGACATTGTATGCCTCTCAGCGCAGGTTAGCCCTGACAGTCAAAGTCTGCCTCCTAAGTGATCTAAATTGTGTCGAAGGGGACGTAAAAAATACTAACATTAGAGAAGAAAAAAAAATTATCGAAAATATTGGAAACCTTTGAATGGTTTGAAGCTAAAACATCTTGTCGTATTAGGAAAATATTTTGCTTTTTTAAATTTTGTTTTGTTTTTCTTGAGAGAGGTTGAAGGTCCTGTTAGTGAGATATCAGATGGGTATGTGTCTTGATCGGTGTGAGAACTGAGATTTATTTTTCAACATGCTGAATTAATAGCACAGATGACAATGGTTCTGTATCATGTTTCGTATTACATACATGTATGAAGCAGCAAATACAAGTTTGTCTATTTGAGAAGTTATTGTCTTCAGTTCGAGGCCACATCAAATAGGAACTTTAATTACAGTGCTTTTTAAAGTTGTATACTTGGCCTAAAGAGAAAATATGTGCCTATATAAAGAGTCGGAACAGTCACCGGAATATGTGGGGAGGGGATGGAGGATCTATCTTATAAGTATAGAGTGCATGTTCGGAACAGTTTTTTATGCACTGCCATCTTGTCAATCATTTAATTAAATGTGTAAGAAAGTCATACAACTGTGATTCAAGCCATATTTTGTCCCAATTATACATTCTTTTTATTCTGACAGCGATGTATTATGCTGTATTGTAAGCAAGTCAAAGACAAATAGTATATATATATACATGTGGTGTTGGTGGCCCAGTGGTTAGGCTATGGGACTCGAATCCGTGCGATCGTGGGTCGAATCTCGCCAGGGGCCTGACGTCGTTTCCTTGAGAAAGGCAAGTAATACGAATTTTCTTCTCTTCACCCAGGTGGGAATGGGTACCCAGCTATAGACAGTGAAAGCTCTTGAGCGCATGTAATCCACAGCTTGCATTGTATGTTTCCCTGGAAAGTGTTGCAGGGTCTGCTGGGGTAATAGTAGCTGTAAAGCGCACTGAGCTTGCTGTAGAGAGGGGATGTGCGCTATATAAATTCAATTATTATTATTACATGTATTACGTTTATATTGTAATCGCATATCTTCAACTCTATCAAAGTTAGTATATATATATATACTAATTCGAGCACGACAGTCTCTGCCACTCTTGCTGCAGATGAAGGCTGGAGGCGAGTCGAGTACTCGATTTTGTTAGAGATGTAAATCCAATAAATAGTCTTCTGTGTAACAGACTCCACGGCTTCGTTTTGTTGAATCTGTCAACTTTGGTTTGATGTGGATACTCGTGGCGACTTGAGTGTTTATATATGTTGTGATTGTACTGGCAAATCCAAAGTTACCTCTAAGCATCTTTATCCAGTTTCATGAAACCTGTAAGTTATATTGTTACCCACCAAATTATTTTTTGAGCTGGAAAACTTGGGAAGAGGGAATCGTTAGCCAATGTTTTACCAACCATCTCTCCTGTTCTGGGGATACAGAAATGACACATCTCTACCTTAGAATTACAAAGCTCCATCTGACATTTTTGACCGGTTTTAGTTACCTTTCAGGGTGATTTTTTAAAAATACGCCACAATCATCACGTGATATTTCAAAAACGAAAAAGAGTAGAAAACTCCTGCTTTGACACGTGTGTTGTGCATACCTGCAATTTTTTATTTCATGTTTTATAACTGATCAATGTGGCCACCACCGGCAGCACGGACAACATCAAGCCGATATGAGAATTCTTCCCTGACGCGCCTCAGAATGTCTCAGTCCCCTGTGTTGATTGTTGCCTGTTATTCGATCTTTCATGTCATTGATATTGCTTGAAGTGGTGGAACATAAACTTTGTCATAAACATACCCCCATAGGAAGTGTCTATTCACTTAACTGCACGTAGTTCCGAATGACTTTATTTTTTTTCTAAATGGAGCACTGCCCGATCGACATCTCTGGGTTCGAATTTATCTGAATGAAAACGTACTTGCTTCAGTGGTGGATTGGTAGGAGAGATGATAAAGACCCCCCCTCTCTCTCTCCCTCTCCCTCTCTCCCTCTCTCTCCCTCTCTCTCTCTCTCTCTCTCTCTCTCTCTCTCTCTCTCTCTCTCTCTCTC